TATCCTCCTCCTTCTACCTCCCTCCCCTTCCCCATCCCTCCCTCCCTTTACCCTTCCCTCCTCCCCTTCCCTTTCCTCCCCCTCCCTCCCTCCCTCCCCCCCACTTCCCTTTATCCTCCTCCTTCCACATCCCTTCCCTTCCGCATCCCACTTCCCTCCCCCCCTCCCCTTCCCAACCCCTCCCTCCCTCCCTCCTTCCCTCCCTCCTTCCTTCCCCCCCTCCCCCCCCATCCCGAGATCAAAGACACCGAGATAAGAAGCAGCTCCGGCGGATGAAGACCCGGATGAGATCAAATTAATCCCGTTACGCCGATGGGTACAAACACTACCCCCCCCCTCTTCCCCCTCTGCTCCCTCTGTCCCTTCTCTTTCCCTCCCCCTTTCCCCTCCCTTTCCCTCCCTTTCCCCTCTCTGGTCCCCCTTTCCCCTCCCTTTCCCTTCCCCTTTCCCTTCCTTTCCCTCCCTACCTCCCTATCCATCTATCCTCTCCTTCTCCCTCTTTAACTCTCTTCCCTTACCCCTTCCCTTACCCCTTCCCCTTTCTTCCCCCTACACCCCCCCCCCGCAACCCTATCTTTATTTACCTCTATTCCCTACCCCTTTCTCGTCCTCCCCCATCCCCCCTCACTGCCCCCTACCCCTTCTCTCCCCCCCCCTCTCTCTCCCTCACTGCCTCCTAGCCCCTACCCCCTTGCCCTCTCCCCCTCCCTATAAACCCCCAGTCCTACCCCCTTCTCCCCCCTTCCCTCTTCTCTTTTTTTATTTATATGTGTACTTATTTTTTTTTTCTTTTTTCATACATTTTTATTTATTTGTTTTAATTGTCATTTATTGTCGTCATATACATTCGCTTATTTGGTTATCTTCCTGTCTACCTACCTATATTTATTTAGCTATCTATTTATCTATCTATCTTTCTACCTACCTACGTATCTCTATCTATCTATTTATCTATCTATCTTTCTACCTACCTATGTATCTCTATCTATCTATCTTTCTACCAACCTCCCTATCTCTATATATCTATCTACCTATCAATCTATCTATCTTTCTTTCTATCCTTCTTATTTTTAAGTTTACCCAGCATGAATAAGAACGTGATAACAGAGATAACACTGAACTGATAAGAGTAAAAAAAAAAAAAAAAAAAAAAAAAAAAATTTTGGATCAAAAGCAAATTCCTGTTTGACATTCTTTGGGAGGAAAAGTTATGCGCGTCTGCCGCTCTCTGTGTGCATTATCTCCATCGCTTCGTCTCCTTTCGGGTTTCCGAGATATAGTTTTTCATTTAAGATATCTCTGACACTGTCTCTGTCAGTCTGTCTGTCTGTGTCTGTTTCTAATATTCAGTCTCTGTTTCTGTGTCTAACTCACTCACTCACTCTCTCTCTCTCTTTCTCTCTCTCCTTCTTCTTCTTCTTCTTCTTCTTCTTCTTCTTCTTCTTCTTCTTCTTCTTCTTCTTCTTCTTCTTCTTCTTCTTCCTCTTCCTCTTTCTCGCTCTCTCTCTCTCTCTCTCTCTCTCTCTCTCTCTCTCTCTCTCTCTCTCTCTCTCTCTCTCTCTCTCTCTCTCTCTCTCTCTCTCTTCCCCTTCCTCTTCCTCTTCCTCTTTCTCTCTCTCGTTCTCTCTTTCTCTGTCTGTCTGTCTGTCTGTCTGTCTGTATGTCTCTGTCTCTCTGTCTCTCTGTCTCTCTGTCTGTCTCTCTCTCTCTCTCTCTCTCTCTCTCTCTCTCTCTCTCTCTCTCTCTCTCTCTCTCTCTCTCTCTCTCTCTCTCTCTCTCTCTCTTGCCCGCTCGTCCGCTTTCCTTGCCTCTCTCTCTTTCTCTCTACATCCTCCTCCTCCTATTTTTTTTCACTAATTCCTTTCTTACCCTCGTTATCCACCTTTCACTTTCCCCTTACCAAAGGTCTTCTTTTCTGTCTTGACCCTCGTTATCTTCATTTCTCTCTCTTCCTCTCTTTCGTTGGCTTTACCAAACGTTTCTCTGTTAATCTTCTTATTCCCGTTATCATCACCCTACGCAGAGGGATAAGATAAGAAAACTTTAAAGAAAATTAAGATAATGAGACAGTTGAGCTTTGGTAATGATTTTCCCACACTCTTTGTTTGTTTGTTTGGTTCTTGTGTTTTTTGTAATGTTGGTAATGATTTGGCATTTTCACTTTCCCCTTTGTGTATATTTTTTGCTTCCTGTTTTGCGATTTTCCAACATCCTTTACTTTTTCTCTGTTCTTTTTTTTCAATTCCATTTTTTAAATTAAAAAAATATATATATATATCAATAAAAAAAGAACCTCCCCTCTCTTCTTTTTTCTCTCTTCCCCCATTTTTATCCTTATATTTCGACTCTCTACCTTTTTATAATCCCTTCATCTTATATCCCTCCTTCGTTATGAAATTATAAACCATTACATTTTTTTCCCCATCTTTTACAGTGAAACGTAAAAGCAATATCAATTATATCAAGTCAATTCCTCTGCAATATCTTGCAAATACGCAGC